AAAAAAATGTACTTTCTCTTCTAGAATTTATTATTTAATTTATATATATATATATATATATATATATATATATGTGTGTGTGTGTGTGTATATATAATATAATTATATGTATGTATAGGTGCATGTTTATATGTATACTCGTATAAATACTTATGTATTGTGTGTGTTAGTATTATTATCAGTTATTATGTATGTATGTATGTATGTATTTATAGAAAAATATTCTATAGTACGGCCGCTGAGTTATTACCGATTTGACACATGACGAATTGACAATACTAGTGAAGTGACTGAACCAGTAACCCTAATATCATTTGGGAACAGTTTGTTTTTAAATATTCTAGTATAGTGTGTAATTAAATAAAATCAAAACAAATAATAGTTAAAGATGATGATGGGCGTAGATAATTGGTCGAGGACATATCAAAATAAAACAAATTTGTAAACACTGTTACACATTTTAATGAATAGAGTAGGTACAAGATGTTTTAATAAATGACTACCTATCATTTATTAAAACAATTATTCAGACTCTGAACCAGATTCGCCAGAGCTGTCATCTCTATCAGTCACTTGTATGACAATTTCATTGTCTATAATGGTGTCCACTCTTATATCGCGTTCATAATCTTCTGTTATTAGTTTTCGAGTCTTTTCGACGACCTTGACCCAATCTTCTTTCGTTATTTTGCTGCAAGCATCTTTTAATAGACCCATCATTGTATTAGTACTGAATGGCGGAGTCGTATTATTACGAGCTGCGTAACCTGTAATGTAAACATTAAATAACGTTAATTTATTACATTAAATAAACGAAATGTTACACAATTACCTACATGTAAGGGATATGAGATATTTATTTCTTAGTTATGTATCTTTTTACTTATATGCTGAATATTGGATGTTATAATAGTACAAATTATTCATATTCATAACTTATGCGATAAAAAACAATACCTTTGATTTGTGCCCATATTAGCTCAATGGCATTGTACTGGCAGTGATAAGGCGGAATTCGAAGTACCCGATGTCCATGTGTCCAACTTTACTAAGTCAGACTTTAGCATTTCGGCAGTAGTTTCAATTCCATTTTGGTGTAGCCATGCTACGAGATCAGCTTTCTTGTCGGCCTGAGTAGGCGCTTTATTCACTTGTTTCGAGTGATATGAAGCGTTGTCCATTATTATGATAGAAGGCTCTGGCAGGCTGGGTAATAATTGATTTTCGAACCAATTCGTAAAAGTGTCTGTATCCATCTCCTCGTGGTAATCGGAAGTACTTTTTGACGCGAAAGCCAGCAGTCCATTTTCAAAGAAACCACTTCCAGCAGAACCGGCGTGACAAATTATCAGTCGCGATCCTTGTCCAATTGGAACCTTTGAGGTTGATGCTTTTGTTTCGTCAGTTCAAGAGCGTGACACAGTGTGGTTCGCATTTAACCATGTTTCGTCAACAAAAACGACGTTGTCCCAAGACTCGATTTTTCTGGCTTCTCTTAAAAAGTCACTCCTTTTAATTATTAAATCAAATCTTTCCATTAATATTTTCCTTTTATTCGTTTTTTTATATTCAAACCCAATTTCGCGCAATAGTTTTGACAACGCCGTTTTACCGCCTTTAAAAAAGGCAGCTTCTTTTAAAGAGAGCAAAAGCAAACGTCTAGTTGGAAACTCGTTCCTAGTATAATAACCATATTTGTGGTTTCTTATTGCATCTGCATCAAAAACATCAACACCTGTCACGGGCTTTTGTCTTCATTTTTTCTTAGGAGTGCGTAAAACATTATCTTCACTTCCAGAAGCACCAAATTTTTCTTTATTTATATTATATAGTGTTTTTGCACCAATTCCAAGAGCTTGTGAAACCCGATCTTTCACTTGAGTGACAGGAATCAAAGGGCCGCCATTTTGTGACTCACGCTCAAAGTAAAACTCATACCTATTCTGTAATATTTATCTCTTTATTGTAGGGTATAGGTCAGTGAACTTACGACGAACACTACGAATTTTATTTTAACTAACTTATTTTCTATACTTATCTGTATCTTAATCTATATCTTATTTTTATTCAACTTTTATATTTTTGGATACATTTTTACTTAAACTATGGTACAATTTGCCTTAACATGACAGACTTTCTCGCTATTTTTATAGGCCCTTAATCTACATGTTTTATCTACAATTAACATGCTTGCTTAAAACTATTTCAAGTTTTGGCTTAACTACTATTTACAGTTTGCTTATTACTAGTGGCTTAGTCTAATTTCATTTATATGCTGTACAGAAATATCACACACAATATTGTGACAGCATATTTTAATTACTTTACCTCATTTCTTTTTATGACCAATTTTGCAATTTTTACGCAGTAGCCAAGCAATCTGTCCCTATCTGGGCCCATCGTAATAGTTGCCATATTATTGGCTTCCATTTTGGTACCCAGTTCTTGTTCAACCTCGAAGCGATCTTTTGAGTGTACAGGGCACTCGAAGAGTATATGCTGCACTGTCTCCATTACCCCTGGATCGCAGATGCACGCCGGGCTCTCCTTGCACTTGAAGCGATTCAAATACTCAGAGAACCCGCCGTGCCCCGTCATGATCTGGGTCCTGACACCCGTGGTCTCGATCTTCCTGACCACTCTGTACGCGATCTTAGCGTCAGGCAGGAACATTTTTGTCGTCGCGGCCGTTGCTCCACTCCTGTATCTTTGGTTCCATTCGTCGAGGGTTGCATTCCGAATGCTACCCTTGACGAATGAAACCGGGCACAGGTCGTAGTCCGGTCTGCGCTTGGAGCCCTCCGCCGCCGCTTTGGCCAGCTCATCAGCTCTATCGTTGCCCTCCAGTCCCACGTGTGCTTTGATCCAGAACACAGTTTTGTTCTGGAGAGATGCCGTTTTGAGGCAGTCTCTAGCTGCCACCGCCAGCGGATCGCGGGGGTTTTGTAGGGTTTGGAGGGCGGCCATGGAGTCGCTATAGATTCCAAACGCAGACTCCGGACGCAATGTGGTTTCCCTCGTTGCCCTGTTAATTCTATTTCGTCCTTCCATACCGTCAGAGCGGCTCCGACTTTACCTGCAATTTTGCTCCCGTCTGTAAAGATTTTAACAGCCACATTGTCACTCTGCAGATATTTGGCCCTGTCCGCGATCAGGTTTATGTCGGGGTATATGTGCTCTGCCGGGTGTGGAGCTTCTATAGCTCGTGCCATACGCTCCACCTCTCGATCCTCAAGCGCTCCCCAGGTGATACCCCTCTTGCTCTTGTAAAGGAGAGCTGCCTCACGTATTCGGAGGTCGAGGGGACTAAACAGATTAAAATAGCGGTGGTAAGGGTGTTGCCAGAATAGTATCGCCAATTACTTAAAAAAATACACCTATAACATTGCTTAATTGAGGGAGAAAATTATATTTATTAAATGTTGTTTTATATATTATAAATGTTAAAAATTATACATAATCATTTTAATTGTATTTATTTTTAAATCATAGAAAACAGTATTTCTGTCTTTGGATCACACATAAATCTTAAAAATCATAAGATACTGGCAACACAGTGCAATTAGGAGACGCAAAAAAATGGTAGCATTATATTTAGTCTAGTTGCTTGAAGGAATAAGTAAAATAAAAATATCCAAATAAAATAAATATCATATCTATTCCAATGAATTCGGACCGAATACTATCAAGCACATCATTATGAAAACTAGACGCACGATGTAACTTTGTACAAGCGCGCCAAAGAACAAAAAATAAATGTTTTCATATTATTTACAAACTATTTTAAGTTTTGAAACAGAGTTTATTGGAAAATTACTTGATTCTGACATTTTGACATAAAGTTTTATATTAAAGAGGTATTCTAAATCATTCGGCAAATGTGTCGCTCGTGCAAGGTTATATCGATTAATTTAAGAATAATCTGTCAAATCGGTAATAACTCAGCGGCCGTACTTTAATGTAATTAATATAAGTACTCTGAGTATATGATATGCTATATATGCTATATTTTTCATAAAATCACATTTTAAATTTCTTTTGTGCATCTACCATGTTTTAGGTCTGCATCGCCCTAAGGTTGACTGGGAGAAAATGCCTACGGCATTAAGTCCGCCTTTGTCACATTTGTGCATAAAGTGTAAATAAATAATAAAAAAATGTGCTAGTTCATAGTGTCTGCAATTATGTAAGACGTTTTTGTACACGCACCCGACACGTGCTAAACATTCCGGCGGTGAACAAAACTATGTTGGTTTGTCTGTTTGACATGTGATTCGATCCGCCGGCGCTTGCTTTGAACAATGTTTTAACGTTTAGAGAGACTTAGTGATTTGCACTAGCGCATGCATGATGCTGATTAACTAGTTGCGGAAGTGTCTCATAAACACGTCACACAGACACAAGCACTAGTTGTACCCGGTTGTACCGGAGTCAGAGCGCATTGCAATGTCTTGACTTGACCAAGTTATCGTGCAGTACTTCTAGCACCGCGACCGCCCAGTTAACAGCAGGTCTGTGGCACATACCTGGTGCCACTGCATCCAACACTGCTCTGTCATTGGTGTGAGACAACCTATGTTCCCTACAGAGTTAAGTTCTATGCTTTGCTTAACCCCGTTACTACACACCCGCCTCCAGTGTAACTTGAACTGTCGTTGTACTCACTTTCCGTACTATGACAGGACAAACTGCGCATACATATAGTGGGCATGTGTAGCAGTTTTTAGTGGGAGAACAATTTGTGCCATTTGTGCCATACAAGTTTTGTTATACGCATACGTCGTGTCAGGGAATAATTTATTTTCTTACAAGGCTTTATGAGAAACTCTCTTGAAGAACAGTCTCTCGCACGTCGTTTCTTACTCAACAGCACACTAATAGTTAGTTATGCTTTTGTAGTCGAAACACGGTAACGGTATGCACTTAGGGTGTAACTAAGCCTAATGAAAAACCAGCAGTTATGTTGACGTTTTTATTGTAAGATGGTAGTGCGATTTCGTTTATATCCGTTCTTGTATCCAGGATAGGTAGGATGTGACCCTGGAGAAGCCAGCCGGATATCCTAACTGGCAGCCGCTCACAGCGCCGAAAGAAGTCACCCCCACCTTAAAAATCATTTAGTACCAGTCTTTAAAAAGATCATCATAAGACAACAAACAAACGTTTTCGACATTTCTAGACCTAGGAACCAAGTGCTAATTAAACAAAGTTTGTTAAAAGCAGTAAAAAAAATTCAAAACTCTTTTGTCTGATAGTGATTCAAGATTGTCTTTGCGAACCCACCCCATCAGATCTATCGAATAAATTGTAGCTTTCGGACGACACCACGACTTTACCCAAAATATTGATATACACTATCAGTGACACATCAGAGCAAGCAAGCAACTCCCTCCAGCCAATATAAATTTTAAGTGGTGGCGCTACTGGTGCAGCTTTACTCCGCTTAGCTTGTGCTTCTCGATAGTTCTGTGAATTGTCAAGTTTTCGGTGGTTTTACAAGTCACAATAATAGTTTGAACGTTGTAATATTAACTGGGGGCGTCGCCGTCCACCGCGACAAGTCAAAGCCTGCCACTGTCAGCTCTTTCCAGTATCGTACACCTTGACGCACACGTACCAAGACGCGCTGATTGCCGCTGGAAATGACAAGCGGGCCGCCGGAGTCACCTCCACATGTGCCCACACCGCCGGCCCCGCTGGTGCACAGCGTAGAGCCTATGACGATGCTGCCGTAGAACTGACGGCATACAGCGTTCGACATCACCTGCAGCGCCACGTGACTCTGGATTTGATTCATCGTTATGCCGGTACCTACACAAAACCGATATTAGTTTTACGATCAGCAGTGGACTATTAAAGGATGTTGATGATTACGGTCGTCTTAGCTTAGAGCGTGAATATGAATTAAAATGTCGATAAGAATGGTACGCGGTTGCATTTGCTTATAGATATTTGTAATTGCGTGATTGTTGTTCTCTAGCAGTAGATATCAAAATGAAATGAAGGTTCTACATGTAATGTTATTCCGACATTTGAAAAATAGTGTAACATAGATGACGACAATGAAATGGTGCTCACTGTCGCTAGTCCTGCCGTAACCGGCAGCGTGAACCCAAGATCCTGCAAAAGTGCTACCGAGTAGAGCGCCGCTGGGCAGCGCTACTGCTTGGATCACATCTGTAACAGAAGTTCAATATGCTAACATTATGGTACAGGTACAGACCAACGGAGTGCCTGTGTACTATGTCCATATATATCACTATCACACACATGTATAATATGTCACTCACCTGTGTATTCGACGTGGTTGAACGAAATGATTGCGATGTCATTGTTGAGCGTAGTGGGCCTGTAGCCAGAGTGTACCTCGACGCGGCTGGTGCCAACGCGAGTACCGCCCGAGAACAGGCGCGCCGAACCGAACACGAGTGTAAAGTGGCGCGCTTGGTTACGTCCGTCGAACCAACAGTGCGCCGCTGTGACAGCGCGCGTGTTGCTCAGCATCGAGGAGCCGCATACCGAAGTGCCGCCAGAAGTCAGATTTATTACAAGACCTACCTGTTGAACATTCACGCACACACAGCTTACTTTCATGGATTATGTCGACGTCGACGACACCTCTTGATGACTATAATAGATTCCTTTTTAATCGACGAAGATATGATCACGTTTCAGATTGGTCAGCTCTGTTATATGAAAGATGCAAGATGTAAAATCAAGCTTCTATACTCAATATAATAAAAAGAGAAGACAGTGGAAATGGAAAAACTTTTCTAAAAAGTTAACAGGATACAAGAAACAGTGACAAGAGGTACAAAAAGGGAATGAAAAACGTTTAATTACAAACTTAATGTAGAAGATTATTGATTTTACCATCGACTACAAATTGTGACGGTTTTCATATAATAGTAACATTGTAAAGGCAAATTTTACAGCAACATACGTTAAAATTTATTCAATTTTTGGTTTCACTTTAATTTAATGCAGAATCATTCAGGTCAGAGCCACTTTTTTTTTGTCTGTGCGGAAATCCCCTCGGATACCACCCACCGGTGGTCAAGTCGGACTCGAACCAGCCGGGGAACCAGATGTATCCTATTAAGGAAATCTCTGATACCCCGACGGACCTCGGATGACCCCCTCGTATACACCTACCTACCTACAGTGTTCTAATTCTACTCCCTAGAGGGCGCGCGCGTTCCATAGCGCGTCACGTCGCCTAAGGTCGGGGCCGCTCACATTATTATTAACATCTGATACAAAACAACTATAAATTAGCGATCCATTTAAAAGAGTCACCGCCCGGCCACACTCTGTTGAGCCATTTGAGAATGTGTTATTTATTGTCATATGAATATCAACGAAGTCAAATTTACCAGGAAGGGGTAGGTGCCGACTGCCGTGGGTTCGCCACCAACGATCCTGTTGCCGTCACCGTCGAGCGCTTGCTCCATCTCCTTAATGCGCGTCGCCTCCGGGATACCGACGTGCTCGTGATAATGCAGCAGAACCGGCTCCTGCGCCAACGTCTGCGCCAGAACGGCGAGCGTTACTACCATCGCCTTGCAGTTCATGGCTGTGATGTGTTTGTGCTGCGTTTGAAGCTCATGCCCCTCTGAAGCAATTTATATGGTTTACGGATTGATGGTCACCCTATCTTATCGTCATGTTTCACAACGACCTTGGCCGCACTACGGACGAGGTCCGTGTTGGGACTGTGCCACACTGCACAATATTATTACTAGAATAACTCGATTACATTAGTTTGTGAAAAGAGATTGCAATGGGCTTTGCAAATCATTCAGTCATTAATATGCTGCCTCTCCTGAGCCTCCTGTCCTGCCCAACTACGGGTGTGCTCAGACAGTAATGACAGATAATCAGACGAGCTAGTTAGCTAGTTCCAAAAGACAGATATTATTGGCGCAAGTGTTAACACTATCGGTGAATGTGCATATGAGCGTACTGCACTGGCTACCGTTTGACGTCGTTTATTCTGAAGCAAATGTTCTACTAAATCATCATAAACTTTAGGAAGTTATCAAAACGCGAATTAACACAGACTATAAGGGACGGTGTAATGAAAACTGAAATAGTGTATTCAGACCATCATTCTGAGTCGAATATTATTGGAATTTTCTGCCGGAAATCATAATTTCTTTTTTTATTTATTTATTAGTATCCACACTTACTACTATCATTACAGGTAATAATGCGATAGTGTAACTATTACAAAAATACTTGTTTTAAACTTCTAAGTTTGTGTCTTGTAACATATAATATATAATGTTGTGTTTGTGAACTCACTCAGTGTACGGCTAAAGAAGTCAACATCTGTGTACGTTGTACGTCACCTCAAAAACAGCGTCTCTCAATAATTTCCATATCATTATGCTGATATTATAATTTCCGTAATATTTTTACAAGTCAGCTAAATGTCTGTTTGAATGTGTGTATAGATGTTAGCTCACACACGATAAAGAGTAATGAAAAAGTATCTGAACACGCGACAGTAGCTTCACTACATATGAATATAAATAGATGTATCTAATACTGTGGGTCATGATGCTTAGTCAATAGTGAATCAATAAGGTCAAGAAGCGAAGATCATGGAGGCCTTGAGTGCAGCACAGTCACGTGGTCACCGACACGGCAGGGTCGGCGGCGCGGGCGTGGCGATTACGTATCAAGCGGCCTGAACCCTGTTATTGATTTAGCTTATCATTTTTAATCTGTTAAAATAATCACGATTGTAGTACAATTACACAACCGTTAGTAAAATGGATTATGCTATCGTCAATGAAATGTTTGTTGTTTAATGACGAAGGATCACCAAGTCGGCCGTGAACGTTGCCGCTTAGCTCTCTATTGTAATGTACTTCACATGTGAGGCCTTTGCATCGTTAACTCTTTAAAACGATTACTTTACCTTTTGTGCAGTTCCACTAATGAGTTGATAATATCAGATTATGTGCAGTACCTTTATTGTAGTACCGAGGCACTTCGTTAGTATTGGCAATGAACCATATTACACATATTGTGGTTCATTGCCAATTCTAACGAAGTGCCTCGGTACTACTTAACCACAAAATTGAAGGCGACGGGGGCTTTTTTTTTTTTTTTTTTTTTTTTTTTTCGTGCGGAAATGGTGGCATGTCGGACTCGAACCGATTAAAACCGCACGCCGTCTCGGGTACTAATAGCCGGGGAACCAGGTATGCCCTAAAAAGGAAGTCCCTGGTGCCCCGACATACCTCGGGTCATCTACAGACGAGTAGACGAATCCCCCCCCCGTGTGGGAACCCCATGTTCCCTGTGCTCCCTGGAAGCGAGCGCGCTTCGCAACGCGCTCGCCGCCACCCCGGCCTGCTTCTGCTAGGGTGACAGGTCTTTCAACATAGGGTGCTCGCTTGTCCACTTTTTTTATATACGTATAATTTTTATAAACATAGTGTGTCACAAGCCGTCGTCGCCTTTGAGGGAGGGAGAGAACGTCCTTCAATGAAAGAATTAAAAAATAAAATTGTTCAAAGTTTTGCTGTCACCATTCTCATATATTTTCACCAAGTTATGATTAGCATAGTAAATATAACATTTAACGTTTCCATAAGTAGTACTTGTTAAAACTGAATAAGTAGTGATACTAAAATGAATAAGTGTTCGGTTTATAAAATAGCGACAGCTACTGTACTAGTCGATCGCGAGGAGGTATTCGCAGTCTGTAGGCCTCGTGTAGCAGGTGAGCCGAGGAGGCAGCCGGTTGAAGCGGACCTCGGGCGACGGGTACCTGGGCAAAGAACAGACGCTGAGAACGAGAATCTGGCAATGCAACTGCCTCGTGGACCTCAAATAATCAGATCATAAAGTTTAAACACGACGTTTTAATATCAGATGTTCAGGATCATCATTAACCACACGCATGCCGTTGATAATACGTGCAGCCGCACCGCGATACTCACCATAACAGATACACTTAAAAGTGAAAAAAAGTGCTGCTCCATTCTGGACAAATAGTACGTTTATGTTGTTTATCTCTCTCGTTGGTTTGTTGTACGTGTTGATCAGGTAAAGGATGGCGGCAACACACTCTCCATAGTTCTTGCTCTCCGAGATACACAGCAAAGCGAGCTCATAGTAGCTATAGGTCGGTTGTCATTAATGAGCGCTAAACCAGGCCGAGACACAAGTTCGTAATGTCGTGATTGCGGTTTGCGTGAACCGCCCACTTTATAGCCATTGCTACTTTTTATCTTATCTCTACTGATTTATTTGCAATTTTTCCTTAAACCTAAATATTTTTGTACTTCGATAATAACGCAACAACAAACATTTTTATGGAATGAGTCATCACACCCTGCTCTTGACTTGTACGCAAGGATCAAATGAAACGCAACGAGTGCCAAAGGGTGTTATTTATTTAGAAGATAATATTAAGAAATACGTTCACTGGCCCCGTTTTTTTTTTTTTTTTTTTTCCGCCGCACGCCGTCGCCGGGTACTAATAGCCGGGGAACCAGGTATACCCTAGAAAGGAAGTCCCTGGTGCCCCGACATACCTCGGGTCATCTACAGACTAGTAGACGACCCCCCCCCCCCCGTGTGGGAACTCCATGTTCCCTGTGCTCCCTGGAAGCGAGCGCGCTTCGCAACGCGTTCGCCGCCACCCCGGCCTGCTTCTGCTAGGGTGACAGATGGACGTTCACTGGCCCCTAACCAAAAGGCCTGTAAAAAAGGAATGGTGTGTTTGTCCGTAACGTTATATAGCATTAAATATTTCACTCCCACAAAATGTATGACAAAACTATAGTTTTTGTCAAAATTTGCTCGGCGAACTCACGTCCGGTACCGTTGTTCTGTAAACCTAGCCACAGCTTTTGTTTATTCAATCAACCAAAAATTAGTGTGATAATGAGTAATGTGCTCGCACCTAACACGTTGACAGAACATGGAGACGTCTATCTTAAAATTCGTTAAGATCAAAACCATTTCTTTATAATTAAGAAGTTAGCTGAATGAAAAATAAATTAAAAAGCCAACTCAGAGTAAATCACCGAGCACTGAGTGCTTTTTTCCCTGAAGATCTGATTGGACCCTTTGATTTCAACCACAGTTCCATTCAACTAGAACGGCAATATAGAACAAGTAGGGCTTTTCTGTCTACAATCAAGACTTTCTTCCTTGATTTGTTAATAATTTTTTATTATTGTTTTATACTTCTACACATTCTTATACCTGTACTTAATTAATTTCTCTTATTGAAACCTTAATCGCGGGTTAGTGACCTGGAGGCCTGAAATTCAGGGTATCCCTAGTTTAGGCTCCAGTCTATCCCCAAAATCACTAAATATAATGTAGACACTGTTACATTTAATCTGTATGTATCTGTTAAATACTTTGTGGTGGAAAATAAAAATATTATTATAATTATTAAATCTAATCCACCAACTTTCTCTGTCATCATCATCATAAACAGACCTCTCCTTAGAAAGGTTTTGGCCTACTATACCACGCTGGCCAGTCGGGTTGGTATAGGGTTGATTCAAGTTTTCCTCCTCTTTGCAGTGCTGTTGTCCTGCGCAGTTTGCTGAGTTAATCGGCTCTCACGACACCCACGGGATCAATAGGGTGCTTCGGTGCTCATAACTACCACAGATACTGTAAACCAAAATAAAAATACTGGGACTCTGTTTTTATGTATGATTGGGTACATAAACAGTCACAAGGCACAGAATTATGACAGGTGGTAATTTAGTTCGCGCACTAATTATCACACCGGTCTTATACAGGTGAAGAAGTTGGTTAGGTTAACCATAGCGCGATTCAGGCAAGAAAAACAACGCCATCAATCGAAAACAGGAAGGGAACATAATAAGTACCATGTGAGTAGTGATAGAAAGGGCCGGTGATTGTCTTAGTAAACTTGTCAATTAGATAAGACTTGTCTTCTGAAATTGAAAAAATTAAAGTGAAGACAACTCCCAGTGAATGTAACACCACACGACATGATACAATATGATCATTTTTTAGAATTGTGTTCATAAATTAGCACGCCGTTGTACATGTTTGTGCATATTCCCTTTTTTATTTAGGGGCACCGCAATGTGTAACATTGCCAAGGGTTTTGTCTAATTTCTCTTGGAGGACAAAGGACAAAGGTAACTTGTAGTAAGGATTATCGGATAGAAAGAAAGATCCCACGTGATAAGACGGTAATAAGACTGCAATAACTCCTCGGACAGGGATTAGTAGCCACACAGATACAAATATATCGAAATATCCCTTACATTTGTGGACGCAGCAGCTGACGTGTGGAGTGTGGATTAAATAAAACGATCTTATTACATGAACAGATTTATTCGTTGAATCTTCGGCAAACTTAATTGGTCCACCTTTATTGCTTCTAACTAGACGCGCGCATATGCGCCATGTGCGTACCGCGTACGGCTCGGCGGCGGCGGAGACGGGACGGGAGCGGGCCCGGCGGGACCGTGCCGCGAATTGGCGGGCGCGCCGCACCGGGGCGTGCCAGGCCAGGCCATGGGAAGCGCCGGGCCGGGCCGTGTGGCGCCGGGACTAGCCGCGGGGCGCGCCGGGCCGGGCCGTGTGGCGCCGGGCCTTGCCGCGGGGCGCGCCGGGACTGGGCGCGGGGCGGTGGACCAGCCAAGTGGCGCCGCTCCTACTCTCACACTTAACCTAGCTATGTACAAAATTAGTACCCGTTTAAATGAATGTATATCGAGACTATTTACAAGAGGGGCGGCGGCGCCGACGTCATGGAGGCGCGGGGGCGGCGGGCGCGGGAGAAGTGGCCGTGCCTGCCGCCGCCGCCGTCGGGCCGCTCTCGGCGCTGGACAAGCGCGCCAGCGTCTTGAACAGCGGCGAGTTGACGAAGCGCGGATACGAGTCGCGGTGCATCAGTGTGTAAATCTGCAGCTGCGCGTCGTCAAAGGTGTGCGGCGTGGGCTCCACCATGTTGCGATTTACGACCTCGCGCACGCGCGAGTCCAGGGACACCTGTAACAGGCCACAGACCTCCGTCAGTCAGCTGGATGGCAGTGTCGAGCAACACTAGGAGCGGCCCGCAAGCTCACCTCCTTGGGAGACAGTATCGAGATGTAGTCCTCGTAGATGAAGCGCGCTTTTTCCTCAACCGCGTCGGGGTCGGTCTCGCGCTTGAGCTCTTCGCACGCGAGCCAGAACATGATGTTTTCCTCCGAGTATTCTCCGCGAAGGAAATCGCGGAACACTTTTCGTCCGGCTAAAACAAAGTGCATTCTGTGCTAAGTGTCTTACAAAAGTATTTAAAAAATAAATAGGAACGATTTTAAGAAGGCATTAAAAAAATTACTATCCGAAAAATGTTATTATAATGATTATTTAAATGAAAGTCTCTAACCATAGATCTTCTCCTGGTCACTGCCTGTATCAAAACTTTTTATGCCACTTGATGCAGAATAAACTGTGAGTAAATGGTATAGAAACAGAATGTCTTGTCGTAGTAATTGTGGCAAATATCTGTAAGTATTTGTTACGAGTCGATCTCCCAAGTAAACTTCGCTTCTGCAACTTGTGAAATTTGTAATTTCTCGGCATACGTATTGGTGACCGCAGCTGATCATTTCTATGAGTAATTATATTACTTCTAAATTTGTATAAGTACACTTCAGAAAGGAGGCTCTATTCTTATACAACAGATAAATTGTTTCTGGTTGGAGACCATCCATATTTAATAACTCGTAAAGGCCGGTCAAATCTCTTGTTATCCTAAACTATCTCGACGGCCACACTAACAGCATCTAGCGAGAACCTGTCGTACCGTTACGAGCGTTTAAAAAAGTATTTGTAGTTTGAAGAGCAGACATAATGGTCGCCCATAGATTCGCCATTTGATCCGCTATTCTGCCACCTTTAAAACTATTTCGATGATCAAAATTAGCCTATGCCCTTCTCCAAGATCTTGTTTATCTAAATATCAAACATTCGTCTAACTAAACACGAAAAATGACCTGTCTCGCATACGAACTTTGATCCCCTCTCAATAATTTACCAACTAGTCTAAAAGAGCATTATAAGAAATATGGTCATAGTTAACGCAACAAAAAGTATTTGTATTATTATGATAGTAGTCCAAACGTCACGTACGTAACCTACAATACGTACAATATGTGACAGTTAGTATTGGAGCAAAGCCTTACGTATGTAAACACTACGTAAGGAATACACTACGCGGCTAATGCTGCGAGGGGACATACCGGCACTGCGCATGAGTCGGTCAAAGGACTGCCCCCAGCTCTGGATCTCCTCCAGCGTCGGCCTGTAAAACAACCATATTATGTTATTGATACAAGTTCTCTGTAAAGCTATTTAACCAGGTGTATAATGTGTCGGGTGTCGCCAGTGTCATATATGTTTCCATACACTTTTTGAAGTAAAACTTCTTTACGCACGCTTGACTTGGGGAGGAAGCTGGTGAATGGTGGGGCGAATGGAAGTTGAGAGGGAGGTATAAGTTAGTGAATATAGAAAGAGAGAGAGTTAAGTTTCGTATATTAACTGTAGGGGAAATAGAGAGATGTGCGAGCACACATATTCTTTCTCTCTTTCTCTCATAGCAAAAAAGTTTTACTTCAGTCGTGTGGTCTAAAGCACACTCGTATTGTTTTTTTATAATGTGGTATCACATCATCGCTCTCTAACGATAAACTACTATTTTGTTATAACTCGGTACACTATTATATATTGTATACTAATCATTTACATATTGTAACCACTAACATTCTTAGCAGGTTAACCTAGCATTTAATTCTTCCATTTACTTAGTCTAAACAGGCGTCCGTATTTAGCGATCATGCCGACGGACTCAGCGCTACGAATTAGAGTCGAGTACCAACTTATGATTTACCTACGTATCGATAGTGTGCATTATAACCATCCTATATATAATCCAAATCCCAAACCAAAAGTGTAAAGACAACAAAAGTACGAGTAGCACGAACGCTTCCATTCAACCATGACCAATTTAATACTATCTACTATTTTCTTGACAATGTCGCTTGGCCTTTTTTTTGTTGACAATCGATTCGGATCTCCGGCTCCGCGGGGACGCAGAAGCCAGGAGTATGTGGTGTTTCCACTAAAAACCACCCGACAGCCGGACTCAGGCGCCCCACTCCGTGGAGGACCCGGTCCATGTTATTTCAGGTCCCCCCAGATTGATGCCATGCCTAGTGACGCCCTATCACGGGGAAGCCGCGGGCTTCCCCCGTCTAACGGCCAATCCTTATAATATGTTATGTTGCGGCAAGATCGCTTTTTGCGACCAGGCCGCCATCCTTTCGCCTACCGCAGCAGTTAATCTGCCACCAGAGGTCCCCACTCTCTGGCAGCCTGAAGCCTCGTCGACGGCTGATAACTCTCTCTCGGTTCTCTACGCTCGGGATCGGCCCTCTCCCGATCCCGTTCAGCGGTCTCTTTTTGGACCATTACGCTTCACAAAAAAAGGGCCACTGCGCCCCAGCCCTCCTCACCCAGGATTTGGTCGACCAGGACTTCGCGTTCAGACGCCCATGCGCGCCCAGTCTTAAAGACATTGTGCCGTCTCCTCGTGTCCGATACGATTCTGGTACTCACCGAAGCAACCATACCCAGTGAGTACCTGCGTCAGTCGGTAGGTGACGCGGCCTCCCTCCCTACCTACTCATGCTTCGAGGCTAGGCAGAACGGCACCGACAGCAATGTCGCTTGGCCTAGGCTTCATTGCCGTGTTAAATCGGTTAACAAAGTGTTTAATAAATAAGGTAATTAAGTGGGAAAGTAAAGATGAGTAACATGGTTACCTCTATGGTCTCCTCTATGGTGAGGGGTATGCCTAGCAGAGGACTATTACAGGCTGTAGAAGTAATGTGATGTGAAACATGAGAACAGCGAAAAAGAAACGAATCTCTAATAATAGACTTTTATAGTACCCCTGTGACTTTTATTGTACCACTGTGGGACCACACGGGGGGATAGTTATTAGAACTCTCCTGGCCCGCCGGGCCCGGAAACGGGCTAGGTACCACAGACGACTCAGGTGCCGGAGGGGGTCATCTACACGCCCTAGATAGCCAGAGGTACGTCGGGGTACCAGGGATTTCCTTTCTAGGGTATACCTGGTTCCCCGGCAACTGGTACTCGATAGTACTGGTAAACAGCGTGCGGTTTTTGGTCGGTTCGAGTCCTACATAGCCATCCCACCGGTGGGTGGTATACGAGGGGATTATCGCACAGAAAAAAAAGAGGGATAATTATTACCGTCAATCTGGCCATTTAGAAATTAAATGGAAAAGTTTGATCTATATCAGAAGAGAAGGAAGACCAGAAGGGAAAGCATCGGTTAGAACGGTTAATGAATGAAGGTATATTTACATAAGTAATTTGGAAATATTACCAAAAAATTGTTTGTTTACCAAAAGCAGAAACCATGTAGTAGAGCATGTAACACCTGCTCACCTCGTAGCATCTCGCTAGCGCTGTCTCGTGAGGGTAGCTGCTAAATGTGCCTTCGTTTAGCTACAACAGCTCTACGTATAACTTGCCAACGTAAGGAATAGATGGAGTAGGTCAAGATCGTGTAGCTGTAACGGTACTGTCACTCCAACTGGCTGTTACTGAACATATTCCCGGAATTCCGGTAAGTGATGCCGGTAATTATGGTAAGGATAAAAAAAATATTTAATATGATTTAAAATGTGTGGAAATCGCGTTTGGTTAAGAAATACGTTTATTCATTAGTATTAAGCGTTTATATTAAAACAGTAGAGACACACAAATTAATAGATAGGTTCATTCTTAAAAGAGCAACAGATAATAATGAAAACATTCCAAATATGAAAATGAAAATAATTAAAACATTTACATGCATAAATAAATAATCCAATAAGTCATTGAAAAATATTTCCGTATTGGTTAGTAAAGTAAAAGCTCCTGAAATAGTAAAAGGCATCTGTCCACTCATCAAGTTTCTAATTAATTAATAAATACGTTTAAGGAGCATATTGCTGTACCTTATTGTATTCGTCAAGTTTCGTATTTAATCAATACCTACATCGACCTCCGTCAAATTGCTGTACTTTAATGTCTTAAAACAGCCATCATAGCGTGCCGCTACTCTAAGGAATTTTAGATATCCTAAGTTTTTCATCCGAAGTTTACCTACCACACAATTCTTTGTCAAAAGTCAAACCCGATTTCGTACCAAACTAAATTTGTCCTAGGCCAAACCGATATATGTTACATTGTGCATGTCAAAATATACTAGTGTAGCCTAGAAAATCTAATCAATAAACTGGTTTGGCTTAAACGAACTAGTTTGGCCTGATATTGGGTTTGCCCAGTAATATTATATTGTTTATGATTTTTTATTATTGGTTTTTGCAAAACTATTTGCATGGACCTGTTGTACTACTTTTTTTTATAAAAAATAATTTTAAGTACCTGGTAAATGATTGATTCATATACTTATTAAAAATCCTGACATACATATTATATGTATGTTTATTGCGTTAAATATAAATTATATAGAAAAAAAAGTTGTATAGAAGCACAAGAATCATTGTCATTCAGTATTCTAATTTCCTGAAATGTTTGGTCATTACCATACTTTTGATAGTACGAGTAATAGCACCCAATATTACGATCTATGGTTATTATGTATTTTTATTTTCATGGCATTTTCAAATTTATTTTATTTTATTACAAGGTATTGCGGTTGGTCGGTGAAACAAATTATTGACATTCTGTCATAATAGGTATTTTTTTAAATAATCTTATCATGCACAAACAAAATGATGAACAATGGTTCATCATTTTGTTTGTGTATGAAAGATTATTTATTGCTATTATTATTGTTTTAATTATTTATTGCTCTTTAATGTCAAAGATCTTTAAACTTAAATCTATCTTTAAGTAATTACAAGAAACTTAAATATTTTGACGAGATTTGTAAAAGTAGGAATTACTAGTAGGCTCGAGATAGATGACAGGCATTATTATTTTATTTTGTGGAGATTTAAGAAAAACGTTACCTAACCACATTATATAGCCACGCGAGACATAAGAGTTATGAAGAAAAACCTGTCCTAAACGTTCAAGACTCTGGTCTATTCCGTGGTCTCATTCGACAATTCTTTTCTTTTCTTTTTCTTTTTAAAAAATACAACTCTCGCACTAGGAATAAATCCCATGTCTCCCCCGCGTTTTGTTTTATAACACAAAGAACACCCAGACTCAGAACAACAATTTGTGGATCACACAAAGTGTTGTCCCATGTGGGGATCGGACCCACAGCACTCAGCGCAGTAGGAAGCGACGAGGTGACCGCTTAAACCACTACGCCATCCGTGCAGTCATTAATAAACTTACGGGCATGTATGAATGCCAAAATTGTTGATGCACAAGAGTTCTTTTAGATTATTATTATTATTACCTTTATTTCATTCTTTATACATATAAATTACATTTTTAAATATATTTATATACAAAAACAAAAAAAAATACATTTAAAATTATGAAAAATAGTATCCCATCGGTATCGGGTACAGGGACCGAGATATCGGTGGTTAGGACTTCAGAGACAGAAACTTCCTCACAATACGTGCCGTATCAAGGAGAACTGCTTTCTGCATCAGACCCTTAAACCAACTGCCTAACGCGAGCCTCTGAAGATGTTGGTCGAGGCTCTTAGCAACTAATCCATTGGCCGATATGACTATCGGTACAACGATTGCCGAATCAACATCCCACATGTCGATAATCTCGTGGGCTAAATCCAAATACTTCACTTGTTTATCTTTTTCAGCTTTCAAGAGATTGTCGTCATGTGGAATGGTAATGTCAACAATCATTGCTCGGCGCTCCAATCGGTCTATTATCACTATTTCAGGTTTATTGGCAACAATAGTCCTATCAGTGATAACAGGGCGATCCCAGTACAACGTTGCACGACCATTTTCAAGAACTGGGTCCGGCACATATTTGTAGTACGGTAACTCTACAGTCAGGTACAAGGTAGGTAGGTTTATTATTATTAAATCTCGCTTATGTCAGATGATTTCTGTTTCTGAAGAACTAACATTATCAGTATACAGTGAACTACAGCGAGTGTCAAATTTGGATAACTCTTGGTTCTGTAAGCGTGCTATATTGACCACCCGCAACTTTCAAAGCTTTACTCGTATTATAAACAACGCCATTTTACATCGTATAGAGAGCAACAAAATTGTCTACAATTTTAGACGAATTTTTAAATTCGTTACCTGCGTCGGGGCTTCCTTC